TCTCACCAGTCTTGTACTTCTGATGAAAATGGCATACATTACTGTTTTCATAGCCCGTTGTCTTTTCACCATTGTGAGCTTGGAATCATTTTCAAAGACCCATATTTTACTTTTTGACATTTTGGAACGTCAAAAAATAGTACCGTCAAAAGTCGTTAATCCGGACTCGTCGGGACTTCGGCGATTCCGTATTATCGATTTTTCCGGATTATAGATCATCAGTTTAAATCTCGTAAGATGGCATGCAGAAATTCTAAAATTAAAAATATGAAACCGTAATTTATGAAATAAAGAACAATTATGATCTACAATATCTTTGTATCTTTGTATATCAAAATTTACAAACATAAAAAAAAAAAAAAAAGCATAATATATATTTGCTTACTTTATTAAACATTTCTTTCAATGTAAGTTGTTTAAGTTGCTTCATTTTATGTGATAATACTTTCTCTTTAATTCTATAAACAGACATAATTTCTTGTTCAGTTACAAAGTCCCGCTGTTCAAGTCCCGTTAATTGCTGTGCCGAGAATACCGACTAACTTGTCAATCGAAATTTTTTTTTCGTTTTCACTAACCTCTCTGTCACTTCTTCATGTCTTTATCCATTTTTTGCAGCAATTTCACTTTTTGTTTGTTGGACATTGAAACATACTTTCGTTTTGTAGATCCTTTGGAAGTTCCAGCATCGGAAATTCTATTTGACATAATCGAAAGTTCAAGTTTACTTTTATAAAATTGCTCTTACAGTCTGCAAAAAATAATAAGCGGGATCCAATTCGAAGATTAAGGAACAACGCAATCATTAACATTAACTGAAATAGATAATTAGATAATTTTAGCTTACACCGTCCGCTATACATTAAACGCGCAGGCGAAAACGTATTCTGCACTTGAGCACATGCATATGCGCAGTAGTCAAGGTCTTACGCGCACGCGTAAAACGCCTGTGCGCACAACGCGGCACATGCGCAGAAAGTTTTTAGCTTTGAGGTCCGGATTATGGGTGTCCGAATTAACGACTTTTGACTGTATATACATTTCATCCAAGTTACAATTTTAGAAATAATGTGGGGCCACCATTTTTAAAAGTAATTTAAGGGTTTCCTCCTATCTGATTCTAATATAGTCCTCTAGTCGGTGCTGAGTTAAATTATAGGGAACCCAATAACAAAATAGTTTTTCATGTGCAATTCTTCATGAATAATTTTATGTATGGTGGCAGATCCAATGTTAAGTTCCTCCTGTATTATTTGGTAGGTGCAGTGATTTTCTATTAACATTTTCCATATGGCAAACACATTATCCAGAATTACTGCCTTCCTATGTGCTCTGCATCCTGAAGAGGAGTTGCAACCTTAGAGAAATTTTGTAAAACATCTGAATATAGTAGCACAAGATGGACCTTCATTTTCAAATGCTAATTAATTGTAGACATTGAAAGTGATCTTTTTGATTTAATGCCACTTTAGAATCACAGAAAATCACAGTACAATAAAGCTTGTGTCTCAAATCTATTTTTCATTCTGCCCAAAATTTATCCTACGCTTAACTTCTTACAACTGGCCAATAGAAAGTGGTTGCTAGATTAAAATAATTCATATTTTCAAATCTAAACATTATTTTTTTTCTGGAACTTATCATCTCACATATCTAAAAAATTTCAGAGTGACCTCCATATTAATCTGCCATATATTTTATTCTGATGACACTTTAAAGTGCAGAGAAGTTGGTTTATTTGCGGCACTAATTTACACATAAATTTTTAGTGTTATATAATTATTTTATATAATTTTAAAAAATCATATTTAATTGCTAGACATCCATTTAGAAAAATATTCCTTCCCAACTATTTAAATACAAGATTTTTATTTTAAAATAAAAATTATGAACAGACATATTTAAAGTTGCAATATGCAATTATGAGCAGTAACCTTTTGAGGCCGGGGATTTGGTAGCAATAAAAGCCTTGAAAGGACGGGGAATCTTGAACCGAATGCTTCCCCCCCCTTTAAGAAATCATCTTCTATTTGCCACAAAGATTCTTGTGTGTAGTTTAATGGATTATCAGAGAGGTGGATTTATGTCGCAAAAGGAAGGGAAGTGTAGGGATTAGTGACCAGACTTCAAGATGCTTTTCGTCACTAAGGGAAAATTTCATATTACAGTTGTTCTGGATTGAGACTACTGGGAAATGTGTAAATCTCTGTTGAAGAAAATGCTATTCTTTATATTATAGGACATTACTTTTGTTTTTATAAAATTTTGGTTTGGATTTTAAATTACACTGCAAAACTATGTGTCTTTACTAAGTGCTTTTAATAATTATTTCTATCGTATCGTTATATTATGTCAAAAAAATATTGCAACTATTTGATTATTTTCTTGGACAATTTAAAATTTAACCAGTCTTCATCTCAGACTTTTTTTTTATTGTTAAATGACCTTATAATTTAAAATTTTTTTGGTACATATTATCAAATATAGCTATATCTTCGAACTTTCTTTCATACGGGGAATAATTAAAAAATAAACGCTTAAAGCTACAGAAATGATTAAAAATGAAAGTTCAGTGGAACTCTTAAAATTATGCTCTATAGGCATAATGAAATTTTAATTTTACATAAATGTTCAAAATCTGCTTGATAACATACTATTTAAGGAGGACATTTTCAGCAAATTAGAATATAACTGGTTTAATTAAAAATAATTTTATTTTATTGTAGACTGTTAGTACTGCAATGTCCAACTACATAAGTGCTACTAATTAAAGTTCAGTTCTTTTTCCAAGATTAATGCATAATAAAACAGACGTTCAAAAACTGTTTTTTAGAATACTTCAGTTTTAAAAATTTGGAAGAAAAACGATTATTTAATCATGTACCATTTTATACTGTTTATTGAAAATCAGTAAGTGATATATTTCAAGTATTAATAATTGAATGAATTTAGGTCATTAAAAATGTCAAATTATTTAGTATGCAAACCCATAATTCAAAACGTAAATTCCATTTGTCTTTTTTTCCATTTGTCTAAAACTAAATTCCCAGCCTCAGTAAGGGAACGTGTTTACTCAGGTTTCAAAATTTAGGTTATTTCTTAGTGCAAAGAATTTTTTAAAATGAAGGGAAAATTGTTTGTTATGCATAGTGTCTGCAAAACTGTGAGACAAAAGTTACACGATAATTAGTTGTTGTCTTCAATACTGTTTTATGCTATTCTATATTATGCTACATAATTTAGCACATTAAGAGAAATTTCCAGATAATTTCAGGTGCCCGGTCAGCAAAATTCTCTCCCATTTGAAATCGTCGTTGCATGTTAATTTTTCCATTCCCTCTATTGTTTAAACCAGTTCATTTCAACTCCAGACTGTCTTTGTAGCAGCTTTGACATCAGCCATGGTGGCATCTTTTATATGGTGGAATTTAAATTCTATGATATATTAACGAGTACCTTTACTTGCAGTTACTCAAAAAATCTTCATTGTCAGGTCATGTGAAATCTATACTGACACAGTTGAATTAACTGTTTTTCTCTTTTTTATTGAAAATTTGGCAGCTATTCATTGGTTTCATTAACACCTCAGTAATATGCGGTTGTATCGAAACTATTTCATAACTGAGTGCCCAAGGTATGCCCCTCAGGAATTTGTCCTTGAACGTAGTTGCTAAGATATATGAATGACAAAGGCATTCAATCACTTAAAAGGTCAAGGTTCAGAAATTCAGATGGGGAACAAGTGTTGTCTTAGAACAATGACTAGTATATTATTTGAGCACTTTTACATTCTGTTTGTATTCTCGGAGCTCAACGAACAATGAAATTTCAGAAATGCTACTCTAATCCATTCTGAACATCTTACTTCAAAATAATTTGACCGTGAAATCGAGATACTGATACGGAGGTACCTTTTTAAAATAACAGTACATCAGTACACCTAGAATCTAATGGCTAGAGATGACCTTTCAAACTGATTGACTAATTTTAGTGTATTTACGATTTCCAGGTTTCAGACTGAAATTGTAAAACTACTGTTGTTTCTTTGACACAAAATTTATATTTATGTTCTTGTAATTTGTTTGAATAACAGTACCATCACAATAAACTTCCATGTGTGAAGGTCACTTCAGCATAAACAGATATATATGGAAATAAAGGCAGACAGAATTGTTAAGAATGTAAGAAAAAGTGCTTGTACATGTGTACAAGTGCGTGGGAATTTATATTTGTTTATGGAAATGTATACCTACATATCCATGTAGTATGTATGTCTGCATTGATATAATATGGTATAAGTGCAAATATGCACATAAAGTGGAAAGCATGCTTACCCTTAAAGTGGAATGACATATATACAGACAGATACGTACATGTACACACACAGACACACATATGCATTTTTATTTATGTGTTTGCGTGTGGATTTATGCATATGTGTATAAACATACAGATATATGTATGCGTATACATTTCATCATCAGGATCTTGAAGAAGTTTTAGTATTTCTTCTTCAGTCAGACCTCTTTTCATTTTCGGCAAATTGCTAGAAAAATGTCAAAATAATTCTTAAAAAAACTTACGAAAATATGCAATATTCTAAAGCAATGCAAGGCTCTGTTTACAATTTACAAATGCAGTTATCGCGAATTCTATAGCTATGTCGCTACAAGAAATAAAAGGGAAAAATTGGGAAAAACCCGATTCTTAACACAAAGACCTTTGAAAGAGATCAGTGGTTAAAACCCCAGGGACGTCAAATTTGACATTTCACCCAATTTCAGCCTGGAAAATGGGGGAACATAGCCACTAAAGTGGACAACCCCGTCCTTTCAAACAGAGGACTCTATGGCCACTATAATGGCCATCCCGTCTTCAAGAGGTTAATAAAAGAAAACATGACAATAAAGATTTATTTTCATCCATAAAATTCTGGTTTTATATTTTAACAGATGACTATTTGAATAATCATATGGAACAGATAATTTAAATATACTTACCTCATCAAATTTTGCCCATTCACTTAAAACCAAAGAAACAGCCAATCTCTGTAAAGCAGATTTCCAATTCAAATGAAACAAAACAAGTTTTACAAATGACTCAGTCGGTGTTTCAGTTTCTGGAGGATACAAAACACCAGGGATAGGTTTTGTAATGTAAGAAGAAAGAAAACCAATAAACCTAAATAAAGAAAAAATTATAAATATGAACAAAAATATATCTGTGTATAATAAAGATTATGCTATGTCTCAAAAAGCCTGGAAATACACTAAAAGGTCAATATAACACCATTGCTGCTTTTTTTTCCCCTTAAATAATTGACAAATCTGATTCTTTATTTACTTTCTTCTCTTCCTGTAACTGTATATACCAGGGGGTTCTCAATGAGGGGATATTTCATACTTTCTGGGGGAGAATGTGGTCAGCCTTTTATTGACCTGTTAAGGATTTAGTTTTAGTTTATGAATACACAGACACACATAAAAAAAACTGCTTTTCTTCATGTTTTGATATTTACTAACTTTATATTTATCAATATTATTATTTGATGCAGATCAAATATCAAGTTTTGATATTTATCAATATTATTATTTGATGTATATCAAGTTTTGATATTTATCTATACTTTTCCTTATTTAATTTATATTCTAGGACATATGGTTGATTCTATTTTACATAAGCCTGTCCCAGAAAAGGTTGAATTCATACAGAATTTAGAAGTTCCTTATACTAAGAAAGATGCAAGAAGTATTTTAGGACTATTATTATATTACAAATCTTACATACCCAAATTTTCTGAAATAGCGCGACCTTTAACAGCATTTACAAAAAGTGCTTCAAATGAAATCACCTGGCTGAAAGAACATGATGAAGTGTATATTCAACTGAAACATATCTGCAATGCTTCTAAATGTTACTCTCCAGATTTTAATTTGCCCTTTATTATTTACACGGATGCATCATCATACGCCGTAGAAGCTTGTTTGACTCAGCAAGAAAACACAGTGTAGAACACCCAAAAGTCTTCGCTAGCAAAAAGTTGACCAAGATGCTCAGAAATAATACTGTTATTGAAAAAAAAGCTTTTTCTGCTATCTTTGCCCTGAAGAAATTTTAAACTTACTGATTGTGAGATTGTCATTGTTAATGACCCTTTCAAATTCCTAATCTCAAATTCCAAGTTCTAATTTGCAGCACTGGCCTTTAGCATTACAATGACTTCATGCAGTGATTACATACCAAAAAGGAAAAGATCATATTAACACAGACTCATTATCTTGATTAACCACCTCTCACTGAAAACATGACCAAAAGTTGATAACTTTTGAAACATTATAGGAACATTTTGACTATTTTGTTTGAAAAAAATTTTAAGAGCTAAAATGCTAGATTTTTCAATATTTCTAATGTTACATAATATATTTAATATTTAGCCATGGTTTAATATTTAGCCATGGTAGCAGTAAAAGTTACCAAACGACGGGGAATCTTGAACCTAATATTTTCCCCCCTTTAAGAAATCACCTCCTATTTGCAGCAAAGATTCTTGTGTGTAGTTTAATGGATTCTCAGAGGGGTGCATCTATGTCACAAAAGGAAAACCTTTGAAAGAGATAAGTGGTTAAAACCCCAGGGACATCAAATTTGACATTTCACCCCACTTTTCAGCCTGGAAAATGGGAGAAAAAGATATGGCCACTAAAGAGGACAACCCCGTCTTTTCAAAGAGAGGACTCTATGGCCACTATAATGGCCATCCTGTCTTCAAAAGGTTAATTTCATTTTGGAATTTTGCATTGATCACTAAAAACAACAAATCACTTTTCAAATTCTTTGCTACCAAATATTACAGCCCTGTAATTATAGGTTGTACAGTATCATTTTGTTCAAAGTAAAGCCGTTAAACGATTTTGTTATTTGATACACATCAAAGTCCTTATTTCAATTTTCAGCCTCTTTGGGCTCTTAGGGGCTACTTTTCAACTTTTGGATAAATAATGTAGTAATATATAATTTAGTTCAGGAAGAATATCTCTTCAATACAGGTTATTAAAGCCCTGTATTATATTTAAAGAAATTAAATAATGAAGAATCTATATAAATGTATGTATGTTTCTCACACTGTGATAAAACAATGCTACCTAGAGCCATTAAATTTTGAATAACACCCGAATTTGGTCATGTAAAAGCCCAAATTTGGCTTTTAACATGGATACAAAATTTACTTTTGCCTTCCTCTGAAGGGTCTTCCACTACTTTTTAATTGCAGCCCCTATTACCAAATCTTCTTCTTTCTTCTGATTTTTTATTTCACCATAAATCACATCATACATAGAAGAAAAACAAGAATTGGTTTTAAAAACTTTGATAAACTGTCTTTAAACAAATCATAAATCATTGATAGCAAAATATGAGTTACTGGAATTCTGCTTTGTAGAAATGTTTTAAGAACATTGAATGATGCAAAATGAATTGTACAAAAGAGCAAAAAGCTTCGTTAGGTACGAAGACAAAAACATTCATATTCGTTCTTCACAAGATAAACTTACATTAATCGGAAAATGTTTCCCTTGTTGAGCAATTTTTTTTATTTTGAAAGAAATTTGTATCTTATGCTTATATTTTATAGTATTATTTTGAGAACTGCCAATTAAATTCCTCACTGGTGCAAAAATTATTTTTCTCAAATCTATTTCTAACAACTGATACTGATAACAACTAACCTCCTATGGTCGTCAGATTTAATTAAGGCTTTTTTTCGTTAATTAATGTACCGCAACTGACTACCGGTGCAGTAGTTGGCGAGCCACACACCTTCATGACATTAGATTCTCTGCTTTAGACCACATGACCAGCTAAACAGTGCCTGACCACAGACCCTTCTACAGCTCCGTCCAGCTTTGGCATTTTCTTGCAGGAATAGGCTTTACAGTTTTTCCCACCTCAGCTTAAACCTCATCTGGAGAATACTATTTATGGACTTCCTCAGATATCAGGCCCAATTTGGGATTCTCTCTGATATCTGGAAAGAGCAAGGACAGGAATTCCTCACTGTATGCCAGAATAATAAGAATAGTATCAAAGTAACTGCATCTCCATTTACTTTAGATATTTTATAACTTTCAAAAGAGCTTTTTATCTTTTCTCTAGAAGCATTTATTCTTTAAAAAATGCAAGAAGTGGGTTCTATTGATCGAGAATTCTAGATAAACATTTCTTTAAAGATGGCCTGAGTGTACATACATGTTTCAAGATTTTTATTTCAGTATTATGCAGCTGTTAGAATTGTTTAAATTTTCCCTTGCCTTTAGAACTCTTTTGGAGATAAAAATAAATATCAACAGGAGATAGTAATAAATATCAACAACGTGTTCACCTATACTTATTGGTAAAGAAGCTGCTCCTTTCCAGATGCTAAATTTAAGAGTTGACAGGTGCACCTCATAATTTGCAAATTTGAAGCCTCGGTTTTTAAGATGTCTGCAACACCAGTCTTCAAACCTACCATTACTGGTGCATAACAGGCACCAAATCATTATACGCACCATTCCTAAGCAATTATTCAGAGAAATTGCATTTTCTTTCAAAGTATCCTGGTCCTTGCACTTGAGTATTTTTTTTAGCAGCGTTCAGCGTTCAGCAATCTCGTTATCGGGAAACATTTTTCTAAATAAACTTGTAGCATGATTCTATACAGTCAGTGGCAGTTGTGTTCCAGTAAAAAGGCAGAGAACAGACATTCAGCATTAATAACTTTTTGGTCCTTTGTTTCCACAGAAAAATTTAATTTTTTCTCGCCTTCAAAAGAATTCATGTTGTCCTCGTGTTTTTGTGTACGCACTTGTTTGACAACATCGACCTTTTCATCATGCAAAATTGAAAAATCACAATGACAAACAGTGCACATCACAAATGTATTACATTTCCTTGAGGAAATAATGGAGGGAAAGCCATCTGTATACGATTTTTGAAAAGTACATGAGTATTTTATCTTTCTTGCAAACATAACTAGAACAAAAGATAGTAAATTCTTAAACTACTTCTTGAAAGCATGCGCATTCGCACAGCTCAGCAACAAGATGAACGAAGTAACAACCTTGATCCGAGTTTGTGGTCATTGGTTAATATACGACAGATGACACGCAGTGGCACTCGATGCTGACTGGAGAACTGGAACACAGCGTTTTCAAACACATGCAGTCCCACTTGCAAAGCAGAAGCACGCCATAATTTCTCACTGATGAAAGGACTTCAGTTTTCTTTTAGATGTAATCCAGAGAAAAACTGAGTGATTTCCAAAATAACTTTTTTGGTGCAAATAACGAAGTATTAAACCAAGATACATAAAAGACCTGAGAAATTTTACGAATAACAAAAAGTCGAGAGAAATCTGTTGAAAATTGAGTTGGCAGGAGATCAGTCAGAAATCGGGAGAGGTTGGCATCTTTGGAGACCTATGATTGCCCTGTAAACTGATAGTTATTTAAATCCTACCTTAAACTAAGATAGAATTTTGACATTATATGACATCTTTTATTTGGTGACTTAACTTCAGATTAAAAAAATTCCTTCTATAATATTTTGATCATATTAACCAAATTGTTGATCACAATAAGTGGTATCCTTTCTGTTTCCTTTTACAAACAGATAGTACTTCAGTTTCATAACAGTATCTGAAAGAAAATGTTAACCATGATCAGAAGTGGTATCTGCTATAAAAATTAGCTGGCAGTTTTTTACCTCAGCAATGGATATTTGGTACCCGCTGAGAGAATAAACAGTATTTGCTTCCACATACACCTTATCATTCAAATGTAGAATCTATATATATTTATATTCTTAAAAATCTGCACAACGCAATTAGAAGCATCAGGAATTGAAAAAAAAAAAAAGCTTTTTAAACTTGAAGTTTGACAACTAATTGCTACACTAACACACTAACAACTAATGGCTAACTGATTTTTTACTTAATTTAGCAAAGGTGTCACCCTTGGTGGTTAATCACATGCCTTATTCCTAGGTATTAGAAACAATTTTTTGCTTGGCTAACAGTCAAATGCCTATATATTTTGTTTATGATAATATGAAGAAAGCCAAAATTAAAAAATAAATAAATAAATACAAATAAATAAATAAATAAAATAAAATAAATAAAAATAAAAATAAAAAAAAACATCTGATTAATCACAAATTTTAATATTTCACTTTTTATGTCACTTAACTATTTTAATAATAATGTACACCAAAATAGTAAATTATAAATTATGTTCCTTACATAAATTAAACAAAAAAATTTAGTGTCCATCTATAAAAAAGAACAAAAGACTCAAATTTGAAGTTAAGAAACATAAATAAATAAGATAAAATACATTTCTCACTATACAATTTTTGAGAAAAGGAAAAAAAAAAAAAAAAAAAAAAAAAAAAAAAACAAAAAAAAAAAAAAAAAAAAAAAAAAAAGAGAAAAGGAAAAAAAAAAAAAAAAAAAAAAAAAAAAAAAAAAAAAAAAAAAAGAAATGAATTATTGAAAATAGGTTCTTGGTTCAGATGTGAGAAAAATGTGACAGCATATGAGTGTTTAGGAATATAATAATGGAAAATTCTAAATATAAAAAACTACAGTTTGCATCAGTATGCAAAATACAAACAGTAAACATATTAAACTAGCTTCAAAAATGAATGACTGATTTCCCATTAAACTAATAATGATCCAAAAATTATTTTGCATAAGATTAAATAGCTTAAAGAGAAGGACATATATTTCATACAAATTCTTATGTGCACATTTATGTTTAAAAATTCAATAATTTATTTTACATATTCCTACATCCCTTTCAGTACTCACTTTGCACCAGTCATCCTAGCTCGAGCAACACACTTTTCTCTTTCCTTAAAGCTTTCATTAATAGAATCATTTCCTCCAATATAATACTGTTCTTGCACTACTCTTGAGCAACCAGATATACCAGAATTACGACCACGAGCACACATTTTATCCTGAAAATTTCAAATGGTCAATTCAGAGTAATGCACAAAACCAGGCATTTTAAATATTCAGCACAGCATAATTATTGAATACACATAATGTTGCATAAGTATATATAAAGAGTACAGAAAAAAGAAAATGCTCATTAATATAAGGATCAAAATATATTTTAAACAACCACTTCTCAAACTTTTCTACATATTGACCCAATTACCCAAGGAAATATTTCCATGACCCTGGGGGGGGTAGAGTTACAAAAATTATCAGTATGAATTTTAGCACTCATTGATAATAAATGATAAAATAATTATCCAAAACAACTCTTACTTTTTAATATTTACTATATTACAGTGGAACCTCGAGATAAGAGTTTAATTCGTTCCAGCATTGAGCTCGTATAATGAATTTCTCGTATCTAGAAACAAACTTCCCCATTGAAAATAATGGAAATCCAGTTAATCCGTTCTGCACCCCAAATATATCAACATAAAAATGAATTTTTATGTTGATATTTTTTAAAATAACACTGTTAAATAATATAACTGTAGTTTACCATTACAATAGCTTCTGACACCGAATTGCCTTTTAACTGTTTCTCGTTAATTCACACCAACAACAGCTTCTCAACATATAAGTTTTGGAGGGTGTTTGGAATTAATGGTAACCCCTTTGGCCACATCAAGTTCCTTAATTCCTTCCCTCATTTTCAGAATAGCACAGATCGTCCATGTCGAACGGCCGTAAAGTCTTTGCCAGTTCCGTTTCTATTACACCGCACTTATATTTATCAATAATTTCTTTCTTAATTTCAATGGCCATTGCTTCCTTCGTTATCTTTGCAGCACTATCTGAGGCAACAATCTTCTTGGAAGGCATCGTGAAAAATTTATTTTCACATTAAATGTAAAAACAATTAACTCCCAAGCACACAAACACGTAGATCAAAGAACACTGAGTGATCTGACGAAAGGATTCCCCGAGTCGAGCTGGATCGGGAAATAGCACTACGCATACCAACAGCATGGCTCATTACTCGAGTCAATGCTCGTATTTAGAGACGAATTTTTCACTCATGCTTTCCTCATATCTTGAATTTCTTGTATATAGGGGTGCTCTTATCTCGAGGTTCCAATTTATTTATATTTAAGATGTAAATTGATGAAAGTATACGAATGATTTGCTTCTAATATCTTCACCTGTAAAATTGTTACTGCTTGGAGTTGTAAAAAAAGTTCATAATTTTTGTTTAATTGTTTGTTCTTCTCGCATGTTTATTCATAAAGTTTATACAAACTGTTAACAAACAAAAATACTAATTATTCAGTATCGCAAAACAGTGGAAAATATCAAAATGTAAAATTTAATCATTCTTTGTTTTGAAGCTGGAATGGCATTGACTGGTAAAGAAACTTAGAATGAAATCTTAACTTTCAAAACTCTTATTTTTGAAAACAGGTTATTTTTATAAATTTAAAAATGTGAATTTTAAAATTCCAGCAATGCAATCCATAGGATGTTATTGGCCTTATCATTTTGATCTAATTTTACAATTTCCATTCTATAAACTGTTTTGATTCAAGATATTATGAGATTAATAAGCATGAGTAGCTTGCCTACTTTATTTAATAATTTTAGCATTAGCAGTGACTTAGCATCTTTGTTAATGCAATTCAGAAAGGCAAAGAGAAAAAACGTGTGCATTGTGGATGTGTGTCGGCAATTGGCAATATTCTAAAATTAATAATTACATGCTTTCTCACTTAGTAAAACGAAACACTTTTATTTGTTTTCCATTCTGAACTACTAAAAAATGATTGTAATCTCAACACTAACTGTTATTACTTTAAAAAATATATATATATAAACATTAAAAATAATTATGTTTAAAAATATGAATCTATGTGTAGGAAAATCAAAAAATAAACTGACATTTTGGTTTCAAACCATTATATATGTACTTGGGTGATCAAAGTTTAAATTTAGAAGTAATATTTTTCAAAAATAAAAACAATCTAAGAAAGATAATTGAGCAGTGAAAAATTGTAATTCCTCTGTGCACTTGATGAATTAACATCAAAATTGAGCAATCAAAACAGTTTGATTCTGTGCATTGGATGAGTTAGCATCAATATTAAACATAAAAAAATTACTCAGTACAGATCATTGGGGATTGTAAACATGGATCGAGCTTAGGACAAAACACAGGTATGCTGGCTAGTTATTTTATTTAAAAGCATTATTCGATTCATTAGATAACTGGGGGCTTCCAGGTTTATACTAATGAGCTGAATCTGCTTTTTTACTTTTATGTGAAGAGTTAAATCTTGGATGAATATCTGATACCTCCATAGCTGGCAGAGTTGACCAATTTTATGATTTTATAAATATTAATGTTAGGAATTTGCATAAATGCATAATACAAAAAGTTAGAACCATGTCTGAAATCATTTCAGAAAGTACTGAAACTTTTGTCCTCATTATCATCCAAAATTCGTTTAACAATTGTTTCAAAAATTCAAGCTTTAAACTTGTGCCACTCAATCACACTGAGAACTTAGGTAAAGAATTTCAAATTTTGCCTCACTAAAATAAAAGATTTAAAAAAAAAAAAAAAACTGAATGTTTTCAGATTTTAAATTATGTCCAAAGGGGTGTTTTTTTAATGTTTCGTGTGTTACCTTTATTTATTAAATATCATGTTGTTTTTCATACTTAAATCATAAAATTCAATTCAACAGCAATATCACAAAATAATTTTAAAAGAATTTTTGACACACAGTCTCGCGCACTGGAGATAAAAAAAATCCCCACCCCTGTACAGTGTTGCCATTGCTTGATTTGAAAATGTTGAGCTTCTTACTCAAAAAATCATAAATGCTTTCCAAATTATGAAATAGATAATAAAACAAATTGAAATTTGGGCTTCCCAATGCCCATATTCGGGTGGAGACGTACATTATTCAAAATCTGATGGCTCTAGTTACCATTGTTTTATCACAATTTGAGACACTAGAAATATACATACATTTATTCAGATTCCTCATTATTTAATTTCTTTAAATATAACACAGGGCCTTAATATTTGGTGGCAACAATTTGAAAAGTGAACCGACGCAAAATGCCAAAACGAAATTAATAGGCCTTCTGAGCAAATTGCTCCTTTGGGCTAATAAAACTGAAAAAGTAATTAAAATCAAATTTTGCAGCTATGAAAGAGAAAATTAAACGAGAATGGGAAAAATTTTTATATTCAGAATTTCAGATATGAATATGAGAAATTTAAAAGCTAAAAACTTGCAGTCTAATTTGAAAATAAAAGCATTAAATGGAAACTGTAAAAATGATCTACACAAAATTTATGCTTCTGATTTACAGTTATCAAATAAAAAACAAATATAATCACATAAAATTTTAAATCAGGCAGAAAGAGAACCTTAGTTGAGCAGATTTTGAATAAAACTTTGAATTTCAAGGGAGATCAAACATAGGTCTCTCTTTTTCAGGGAAGGGGGACTCTTCTGCCCACACTTCAGGAGCAGAATTATTATTTTTTTTTTTTTTGTGTGTGTGGCATATGACACAAGTAAAACAATAGGAAAAAAATATTCTTTCCTCCCACCATAAAACTGAGGGAGAGTGGACATACTAGTTATAAAAAGAACTTTTTTCTTTAAAAAACAAACAGATAGTATTGTAAAAAAATAACTACTTAAAAGGGCTAAAGAGGTCTAAAAAGAACTCTTCCCATTTCCAATACAACAAATTTAGAATGACTACACTAATGCTGAAAGAAAATAGAGCAGTTTTCCCCTCATTTGTCAGCAATTTAAAAAACACAGTATACGCAGATCCTGCAAAAATTTTACTCAAAGAAAGCCAGCTATTGTTTTGGAATGCTAGTCAGTGAGGATGTGGATTGTTGCATTAAGATGATTTGGTGCAAATGCCCTTTTTCTATTATATGTTCCCAGATATACAGTATTAAAAAGCCCGGTGGTCATACTAAATGACCACTGTTTTAGATATTATAAATTGTAATTAAAATGATTTGTGTAAAGGTGTCTGCTAATCAAACTCAATTACTCAAGGCAGGCAGCGAGGATGCCCTTTTGCTTACAGCCCCACAGGGTTTCCCCTTTTTACTTGCTTAAAGTAGAGTGCGATGAAGGAAATCACTGGCAGTACATTTCTTAAGAGCCACTACTAGCTCAAAAAATAAAGGTGATATAAATAATAAAATGTTAATTTCCCTGTCAAAGATCTCTTTGTACATAGTATTTCTTGGGTAGATCTTTCCATCATTTTTAAGCTCGACTTGCAGAGGACCATTAATTATTTTTAATTTTACGTTCGTACTTTCATGAACTCTTGAACAGGAACTCACGAACTGTTTCATTAAATTGTAAACCATTTCAAAAACAGATGATTGCTAATGCAAACAAATGTTCACGTTCTCCCTGACACGCTCAATTCGCGTTCAGCTGAAACTTTAGTTTAAAATACAATGTCGGAATAAAATCAGGCAAAATTTTAAACTCTTTACGCGAAAGGATATTTAGCACAGGAATTTGGCTACACCTACCTGATGAGATGTACTATGCAAAACTCGTTAGTTGGTTTCGTCTCCTCTAATTTCTCAATGTTTGCAAGTTTCTAGGTAATTCATATGTAAATCTAGTTAAATGCCTAATAAGCAGCAATTGTATGAATTAAAAATATTTAAATGTTCTTAAATACCATTATAATTAAATTAAAACAATGATAACTGCATGTACGGTATCAGTGTATATGGACTATTTGAATGCTGTGGCAACTTCACCCCACTAACTATTACAGTTATGCAAGAACCAATAAATTATTGGCGACAAACAGACCCTTAAGCCGCATATATACAAGATGTGTATTGTTGTTACTGGTTTTTGAATCAATATTTTGTTTGTTGCACACTTAAATTTCTTTATCTTTTTATAAATTTCTACGAACTCTTAAAATTAGTTATGAATCTCTATGA